GGGAGAACTGGGAGAGTCCCCCCAGCGACCACACGCACAGCCCCTGGGGCCAGCAGCGACAAACTCATGGGCCCCACTGGCACCCGCCATACCAGAGCAGGTCCAGGAAAGGGCACAGAGGTCCGGGCCCCAAGAGCGCACCCCCTCCAGGCCAAAGCCCGACAGGGCCAGAGGTCCCGAGCCCCAGCAGGCAGTCACCAGGCCAGGCCGGCACACACCCCAGCGCCCAGCCCCAGACCCCGGGAACCCCCAACACGCCGGCGGCCAGCCGCACACCCCACCGGGGGGCCAAGTAGCAGCGGGCCCCCAGATAAACCAGCAGTAGGGGCAGCCCAGACCGCAGCCTGACAAATACCCAAACATACACAATCGCACCATCCCACCCTCATCCTCACCCCCACACAGTCAAAGACATACAAGGACGCCACATTCCACTCATACCCCCGACACACACTCTATACCCCCCAGGTCCAGGACATGTACCCACCCCCTATTGGAGGCCGCACACACCCGAACCCAGGAGGTAGACCCAATCATTCTGAGGTGGAGAGGAGCAGATGGCCAAGGCCTGGCCCGGGCCGCACCAGGATGCTCGGCCAGCACCCCGTCGCAGAGAAGCCATACCCATGACCACCCCACCACACCGCCAACGACCAAGTGCACCCCCCCAGCCGTCCACCCCCCGGAACCCGGCCAGGGGACCACCCACAGGAACCAAGAGCCACACCTCAGGAGACCAAGCAGCACCAGGGAGGATGGAGAGCCAGCCCCGCCCCCGGCGACCGTCCAAGCCCCAAGCCCACCCACAGCCCAGGACCGCACTCGGCGGCCCGCCCCTCTTCAGGACCCCCTCCCCAAATGGCAGTTGGGGAACAGGATGGGAGTAAAGACCCTGACACCCACACCCCCACCCCCAGATGTACTGTTGGTGCGTGCTGTTCTATAGAGTAATTAAAAAAGGGAAAGAAGAAGAGGCAGAGGCCGGCGTGGTGCCAGTTTCCCCTCCACCACTACTCTAACCCAAAACTCTAAGTGTCTACATGCAAACCTTGGGGGGTGGGCACAGGCACAGGAGGCGAGAGTGGTGCCATCCGGCCACATATAGCCATGAGTGCCCACCATAAGTTCCTATATGTGAATTTCATGAAAATGTTATGAGTGAATGTCTAAGATGTACAATAAAATTTGGGGTCCAGGTGGTTATGGCAAATAGAAATGTAATATTGTTGCTCTTATAACACAACTGTACCCCCCAAAAAACTCTACACGGGTGAAGTTGAAAGTGAAGAGGATGGAGGTGTGCGGTGAGGGATGGGGAGAATAAGCTGAAGGAGCAAAATGCTCAACCATAACTTTAAAGGGACATACCGGTCAAAACTGAAGTGATGTTCTGTTAAATAGTTAGCAATATTATCTTATCAGCCACATCAGGGCAGAAGCCTTCTTTTAGGCTAGGCTAACTAAAATTCTAAAATTTAACAAAATCCTTTATCTCAAAAAATGTCCAAGCAACGTTACGAAAATGAAAATAAAAATTCCTTTTCTAAATCCTTTTCATATTATTTCCAGCATACACGGCTAGCACGGTCAAAAAACTGTATCAATCCGTGCTTCTGGCTCTTTCTCAGTCTCTTTTTTCTTAACTATAACCTGGCTAAACAGGAAGTAATACTTTCAAAATAAAATCTGAATTTCACAATAATGTCAACATAAGCTCTTGTTAACCTAACTTACTGCTAATAGCAAAATTTAAAGACAAAAAATATTAATACAAATATTACTGGTAAATCCTTATTTATGGCTCTAACTGTTTGGATTTTTTTTTCCATCATCCTCACATTTCAAAAAAATGTTGAAATTCCTATGGTGGCAAGAATGGCCACATTAATGACATCAAAAAGCAAAGAAAAAACACTCTTAACTCAGCTGCATTTTCCTTTTATAGTGTTTATAGATTATTTTTAGTTATTAACCATTTCAGCACACAATCAAAGTGTCATCGAGACAATATTGAGATATAGTGAGACAGAGACACAGAAAAGCACAATAAAATGTCTCCACATTTGTTTTTGGGTTTTAGGGCACAATGTGATATCTAACATGCTTTATAAAAGGTCGATACATCACTGTTTCAGTAAAGCTCCTGTTCACAAAATTACACAAAAGACAGGTTATTTGTTTTTAATGTCCACTTTAGAAAATGATTTTTTTAATATCAGTTTTTCCCACTATGAAAAAACAGTTTTAAACTACTAATAAAAAAGTCACTCAGTGATTTAAAAAAAATGATGGTGCAATAAGCTAAACTTTCTAAAAATGAAAGAAGAGGAAAAAAAGAATGAAGTATTTGTACCTTCAGAGGATCCTTCTGAGATCTCTAACAAGTACGTAAGAGCCTCTGAGCCCCCGTTGTCCTGGGGGGGATCTGCAGGGAAATTAATAAATTAGATTAGACTTTATTACAACACTGAATATCAAAGATTAGAACAAAGGTCTTCATTACTTTAGCAACTGATTACAAAAAAGAAATAGACTACATAGCAAATGCACATGTTCCTTTTATGGCATTTTCTGTTCTGCTAAAACTTGTGGGGAAACTGTCCTTCAGTCCAAAACAGTCAGTGCCAAAATTTTAGCAAGAATTCTTTCTTTCTTCAGTATTATTTAGTACTGCTGATTTCACATATAACCATAGTTTTGTGTGCGTTTTTACTCTTTTTATACAACCGAATGAGATGAGTGTGAGTTTGGTTATTTAGAGCGTTTACCCCATGTGACCGTGAAGCCGTAGGGCGTCACCCCGCTGACGCAGGGTGTAGATGGAGGACCGGGTTTGTCTGGGTTGGTGGTGCACACCAAGACTTCACTGGGACTGCTCTTTCCTTCCATGTTTGATGCTATGAGCTGCAGGGAGGGCGACAAACAGGACAGGGGGTTAAAACAGGGACAGGAGTGTAGAACCGCAGAGAGGAAGGAGGAGGAAGATGATCTTAAGAGGGAAGGTAAAAAGTGGTAACAACATAGAAAAAAAAGATGTAAAAAATGGTTCTGTTTCCAATGTCTGAAAATTGGGAAAAAAAGAAACAAATATCACAATGTGACATGATTTAATTGGCTGGATGCTGTTCAGCCTAATCCAGAATCAATACTCATCCCTGAAACTGAAACTGAAACTAGACATCAAAACAGACCAATAAGAAATTAGGGCTTTGAAAAGATAAAATTTAAAGTTCTGAACCTGAAACAATTTATTTTTTGACACTTTAAAAAAATAAATAGAAAAAATAAAACTGAATATGGGTTACTGAAAATTGAACGAGTTTAATTCAAAGCCAAAAAAAAAAACAAAAACAAATACAGTACAATCACTGCATGAAGCTTATAAGCTTTAATTTCTGTCTTTTAGAATTTAAAACCTGTTGAGACTGATTTCCCTTCATAAACCATCTGTCCTGAATAATAAGACTGATCAAACTGCTTCCTGTTACCTGTGCTTTAACTCGCCAATGAACAATCAGTTTCCTTTGTTGCACGTTCCGTGGGATGAAAACACAAAGAGAACACACCTGGTGTATCTGTGTCTTCACGCATCCTGACCTTTACCTTAGCACGTCCATGAAAGCACATGACGTGTTTTAAAAAACGTCCAAACTCACTTCCAGGGATGGACTGTTGGGACATTATGGTTCAGAACGTCCTCACGTCATGAACAAGTTTAATTAAAGCTTTTAGTGAAACACTGTGATTTCTATGTGAATTGTCCTGGTTTGTTAAACTGTGGTCTAATTTCGGCTGGTATTCTTTACTTGGAGTCTTGTTAGCACTAAAAACACATGGTAGGATCAGTGGATTCAGAAACATTATTTTAATCTAAAAACTGGTCAATTAAATAGGAAAACTGGAGATTTGTAGATCATCTTATGTAGAGAAAATGACAAAGTTAGAGCCATAATGTTGCCAAGATGTCTGACTCAGAGTACGTTTTGAATGACTATCAGCTACTACCACATGACTGTTATAGTCATTATGCGTTTCCTAAAATTAGTTGTTTGCGGCGGTCGGCTCGAACTGACATTCAACTCAGAAATTTACATTTCTGTTTCTTTTAAATTTGGTGAGCGGTTTATTAGATATTTTGCTAACAGAAAGACAGGGTTGACACAAGATGTTTATAAATGTTACATCTTTATAGATGTAAAGATGTGCATTGTGCAGCACCTGGATGTGTTGTAAAGTGGCCCCAGCTTTAGCTGAGCTTGCTCTTTTCTTGTCTGAATTATAGTTATTTTTGTATTTTCTGTGATCAGTTAGCTGTGGTGGCCATTTTTAATAAGGTTGACTTCAAACGGTAATCAGAGGGATATCCAAAATTATTTCCTGAATCTCTTTAGTGGTTTGTGGGGTTTATTTGCTAGCAGACATTTTTAATTGACTCCAATAGTTTTGGGCTGAATTTGATTGAGTGCTCAGTAAACAGGTAGCCCTCAGAATATATCGTAGTCTTCAGTCTCAGCTACTACCACACCAAATTTTACGACTGACAGAGGTACAGCCATTTTTATTTTTGTGCGTTTAAGGTCCGTTAGCTGTGGCAACCTTCTTAATGTCATGCATTGACCCATTTCTTACTAGAACATGTTGCTTTCAGAAACAACTTATTTTTTGAGAATCATGGTTATTTAAAAATAATTTATAATAATCTATTATTATTCATAATAAAATAGTATTTATTTATTTATTTAGTCATTTTATCGAGTGTTTCTTTTTTGTCTTTTTGTAATGTATTACTTTGAAGTGTTGACGTTGGTTGTCTTTGTTGTAAAGCCAGGTTCCCACCAAACGTGTTTGGAGCAGCCAAAATGCTCCTGCCACATGCGTTTGGCTGCTTGTCAACAGCTGTCCGTTCACACCGAACGCATCTGAAGACGCGCAATGGGAGGAGCGTCTTTGTTCTTTTTCCGGTCGGTTGACGTTTAACATAAAGATAAAATAAATGAAATAGCTTTTTATTTACTAAAGAGCAAGTGAACGTTGCACTTAGAGCAGATAGTTAATTCACCAGATATTAGAGGCGCTCTGTCGGACTTTTTTTTTTCCAGACCGGGACCAGACGGTCTTTAATGACGGGTGAAATAAAGATAAAATAAATAAAATAGCTTTGCTTTATTTACTAAAGAGCAAGCCAACGTTGCGCTCAGAGCAGGTAATTAATTCACCAGATAATTTAGAGGCGCTCTCACTGACTTTTTTTTTTTTCAGACCGGGACCAGACTAGAGGCTGTAGAGGGAGGAGGATCTTGGTTTTTTTCCGGTCTGTCTTTAATGATGGGTGAAATAAAGATAAAATAAATACAATGGCTTTGTTTTATTTACTAAAGTTTCGCCACTCCAGGAACTGCGAGCTGAGGGACTTTTTTTTGTCCCGAGCTCAGCGAGCTGCTGCTGTCTCATCACATCGGCGCTGATCTCTCCAGCTAGAACTCCAACTGCAGACTGTCGATTACAGCTAAAAAGGCTCATCCTGTCAGTCTGTGTCGGGTTCATGAAACCGTCACGTGAAAAAAATATTCTCTCCCGATTGGTTGCTGCTGCGCGGCGAGCAGCCAAAGTTCAATCTGTTGAACTTCAGCAGCCGCTGCTTTGCAGCTGCCGCATGTTGCGCGCTGCTCTCAACTGGCAAAACGCGCCGCTACGTGCTACGCTGCTCCTAGATGCGCGTCCACCATAGACTTTGCATGTAAACTGGCTGCTTTGGCTGCTCCAAACGCGTTTGGTGTGTATCCGGGTTAAGGCTGAACAACATGGCTAATATTTATATCACAATATAACTCCTAATTTCAGTCAATCCGATATAACAAAAATATCTCAAATTTACTGTCTGACTGGTCATAATTTAATTGTTGATTTCTTGCTGAAATATATGTTTCAGATAGCAATTTACTGCAGATACCTTAAATTAGAGCCTTCGTGCAACTTAATGTTAAATCTGGCATATTACTACACTTAAAAACAGATGTGTTGGATTTACTTAACCAAGTCATGTCAAAACACTTTACTAAAATTTGTCCACTGGTTTATGAGATATTTTGGTAGGAGACACAAGCAAAATAACAAATGGCTTTCGACAGTGAGAAAGAGTCCGAAAAATGTTAGGTACTCAACAGAGTACCTTAAATCTAACAATACATATGTATTCACTTACCCTGAATTTATACTGTGTACTTCTCTTCAGGCCTTGTACAGTACAGGTCAAGTTTTCTCCAGTGTACTTTGGATGAAAGTCTGTTCCCTGTAGGAGATACACCACAAATTACCTGTATGTCATGGGTTCTCTTCTTTCTTTTCAGTGTGCATCATTGTATATACAGGTGAGTCAAAAGACTCAAAACACTCTTTCATTTCAGAAAGTAAAGGGAACTAACATATCTGAATACTCCAACAAGTAATGGTTTATGACCAGAACATGGCCGTCATCTTGAAAGCTGCCATATTGGATCAAAGTCTAATTTTCCAATGGATCACAGGCAACATTCTCAGTTATTGGTGCAACTTAAAGTGTTGATAACTTCTGAACCAACCTATGGATGGATGGATGGATGGATGGATGGATGGATGGATGCACTGCAAAAACTGTCCATCTTGCCAAGTTTTAAAACCTTATATCCAGCCAAAATGTCTTTTTGATCTTGTTTTGAGACTGATTTACTAAACAAGAACTGATTGTTTAAGAATAATAATCTTGTTTTCAGAATGTGTAAGATTATTTGTCTTGTTAGTCTGAAAATTTGACTCAAATTAAGTCAAAAAAATTCTGCCAATGGAGTAAGAAAATTTTACTTGGTAAGATTCTTAAAATACTTGATTTGACTCAATTTTTTCTTATCTTACCAAGTACAATTTTCTTACTCCATTGGCAGAAATGTTTAACTTAATTTGAGTCAAATTTTCAGACTAACAAGACAAATAATCTTACACATTCTGAAAACAAGATTATTATTCTTACACAATCAGTTCTTGTTTAGTAAATCAGTCTCAAAACAAGATCAAAAAGACTTTTTGGCTGATATAAGATTTTAAAACTTGGTTAGGTGGACAGTTTTTGCAGTGCATCCATCCATCCATGAAATGACTTGCTGCTACCATCCATGGATGGATGGATGGATGGATGGATGGATGGATGGATGGTAGCAGCAAGTCATTTCTGAGACAACGCTGGTCTTCTTTGAAACGTTAAATGACCTTCCTGCTGAAAAAACTTGCTCTTGATCCAATATGGCGGCTATCAAAATGGTGACCATGTTCTGAACATGATAGACCCCCCTCTCCCATTATCTGTTGGGGTACTAAAATATTTCATTTTCCCTTTCTGAAATAAAAGTGCATCCTGGGCCTTCTGGCTCTCTCTGTAAACAGCATAAATACTTTTTATGGTGATTCTGTTTGTGTGTTTGTGTCAGGGGGAACAAAGGGGTTTGTTGGAATGTCTGGTGCACAGCTGAATATATACAGAAGATGTAAATTATTTCTTTCAGGGTTTTTGAAATGCATGGCATTTTGAATTGGATATTTTTTTCCCACCTCGGGGCTTTCAGTAAACAACAGTCAGAGACAACGACAGAATAAAGTCTTTATATAAAAACACACAAACAAAGCAACAACTGAATCCAAACAGCTGAAAACCAAACCAAGTTTTCTGTTTATTCTCAGATGGACATTTTGTTTTGTTGTGAAGCAATAGACGACAAACACTGTGTGTTTGTCCCCACTCACGCTGTTGTCCTCCTGGATCTCGAGCGTGTATTTGAGCTGCTCCTCGCTGGGACTGCCCTCGGGACGCACCCACTCCAGGGTCACCCAGGACACCCCGGCCCTGACGAGCCGCGGCGCCAGCGGCAGAGCAGGCAGGGTGCCCATGGTGTAAAACACCACCTCTTGACTGAAGCCGCTGCAAAAAATAAATAAATTAATTAAACCACACACATCTCCATTTCAGTCACACTTTAGATTTATTTTTTATTTAAAGCATAGAAGCTTAATGGGTGACCTGGGCGAGCGGAGATGTGTGACATGTTGTGAATTACAAATGTAGAGAGAGGAGAGGAGAGGAAAGCGCCATATGGACTCAGAGGATCAGAAGGTTACAGGTGAGGAGGTTTGAAGCACCTCAGTGGAGGGAAATTTCTAAGATGCAAATGGAAATTTAAACGTGTTTTGTTTGCAGATGACCACATTTTCTTTGTCAGGGAAAAAAATTAGATCTTATGCTGGAAATGATGGAAACTGAGTTTGTAAAAATACAGACTTGGTTTGGGCTTAATAAATTATCACTAAATTTGGAGAAAACAAATTATATGATATTTAGTAATAGGAAAATTATAGTTGATGCATCATTTAAAGTGGATTGTAATGCAATTTGTAGAGTGAGTGAAGTGAAATTTTTGGGTGTAATTATTGATGAAAACCTGACCTGAAAATCTCATCTTTATCTGAAAACAAAAATAGCAAAATCTATAGCTGTACTATATAAGGCAAGAGAATTGTTTAATGAAAAAGCACTGCTTATATATAATGCTATAATTGTTCCTCATTTGACTCATTGTGTTGAGGTTTGGGGGAAGGCATGTAGAACGGCTACAAGTTCTATTTTTATTTTACAGAAAAGAGCCATAAGAATCATCACAAGAAAACATTACACTCATCCATCTAACACATTATTTCATCAATTAAAGATACTAAAATTTTATGAACTGGTTGACTATGGAATTTTGCAGGTTATGTGGGCTCATACAAATGCTTTACCTCGAAATATTCAATCACTTTTTATCAAGAGAGTCAGTAATTATAAATTAAAAGGACTAGAGATGTTTGTGAAGCCAATAATTCGATTAAACTTAAAGGAACGATGTGCGTCTGTTCAAGGAGTAAAACTGTGCACTGCAAAAAATGTCCACCTAACCAAGTTTTAAAACCTTATATCAGCCAAAAAGTCTTTTTGATCTTGTTTTGAG